GTTGGGATGGGGTGTGGCAGGCGGGGCTGGGCTGGGAGGTGGCAGGTGGGGCTGACCCTCCATTTGCGGGTGCTGGGCATTAGGGCTGCCTGCACTGGGGACATTTTTGTGTGCTGTGGTGCTGCATTTTTTGGTCGTTTGGGTGCTGCAGCCTGCACACAGCTCCTGCATCCCGTGTGTGTGGATGATGGGCTGCAGCGATTCCTCTCGTGTCTCTCTGGAGTTGCGTTGCTCAGGGGAGTTGTGCGTAGGTGGCTGTGCGGCCCCCATAGTCACTGTGGGCTCCCGGGCTCTTGGCAGGCATTGCCGCCATGCTGCTCAGCGCCGAGCCCCAGCTGAGCCTCGCCGAGCTCCGACAGCGCCTTCTCCACTTCGCCACCAAGAACGTCATGGACCCGGCGTGGTTCCCCGAGGAACAGCGACGCCAGACACCCAACAGCGTGGCTGGGCTGCCTGCACGGCTGGGCACAGGTAGGGACCTTGGCTGACTGCTGGGAGCCTGGCAGAGCGCTGCCCTAACCGGGGAAAGAAGCGTCTGGGTGACAGCAAGGCGTGTCGGCAGGGCACTTCCTTCCACAGGCTGTGCCGGGGCCGGTTGAGCCCAAACTCGGCCGTTTGCACGCAGAGGGGAAGTGGGTAGACCTGTCAGCCCGATCGGTGAACATAGAGGGTACTGGGTAGACCTGTCAGCCTGGTGTGTGCCGTGGGCTCTGGGTGCAGCGGTGGGTGTCCCCCTCAGATGGCTGATGCCACCTCTCCCGTTGCAGATGCGCAGCTGTACTGCCGCTCGGTGTGGTCAGCACGCTCGGGGCTCACCCGACATGCCACGGCTGTGGCTCGCTGTGCGGGTGCCGAGGAGATGCTCAGCTGCTCCAGCTTCTCCCCTTCTCCCGCAGCGGCCGGCGGCTGGGGGAGCACATGGAGGTGAGTGGGACATGCGGGGACAGAGTCCTGCCCCTGGGGTGTGCGCTGGCCTCAGAGAGGTGTCCCCAGGCCTCTGACCACCCCTGGTGACACTGTGCTGCCCTGGCTGCAGGACAAAGACAGGCAGAAGCAGTGTGTGGCACACAACGCTTTCCGGGGCCAGGGTGTCTTCGCCATCGCCAGGTGCTGCATGTGGCCCCGAGCTGAGTGCTGGATCAACGCCAGCTCCCCCGCAGGCGAGGGGGCCGGCTGCTCCCCGCGGGACCATGTCCTGACTGGTAACGCCCAACACCGCGGGTTGCAGACCCCTGAGCCAATACCCTGATGGCCAAGGGGGCTTCTTCCAGAAAAACTCTGGGAGCTGGGGTAGAGGGGGGGGGTGGAGTGCTGAGCCAAAGGGAAGGGGACCTGTGCTGCGTGCAGGGGCTCGGTGGGGACATAGGATGGGGGGCAACGGTTTTAAGGTGAAAGAGGGGAGATTGAG